GGGCTTCTATTATTGCCCAAACAACTGATTCAATAAGCGAGCCATACAGCTCTCAGGGCGGCCATCATCGTCATCTGCAGAGTCTTTAAACCGAGCTATGTTTGGTAAAATGGTGATAATAATAAGCACCGGATTGATAAAGCTTGAATAACTACAAAAATACATAATTTTACTATTCCTAATTGCAACTATCGTAGAGCTTAATCGATACGAATAAAATATTAATTCTGTAATATACTTATATTTAATGTTAAAAATACCAGTGATCTAGCTTAGGTGCACGTTAATAAAATGTAGGCATTCTTATAACTGATACAACGATTTCATTCGATCCGCAAGATGTTGGAATCAAGTATTTGAGAGTATCTTATAGACGATTATTGTGAGTAAGTGAAATAACACTGTAAACTCTGAATAGGATTGAAAAAAAATAATTTTTTTGGCGATTATATATTTTTTTTTTTTTTTTTGTTATGTTTCGACGATAACATAAGTAAAAAAACTAAAAGTCTGAGATATTGATCCTTTATTCGCATTGTGGAGTATCACTATTTTACACAAAAGAGTACTTATTCACAACGATGTATCTCGATTGCGCTTTATACATTAAAGTTTATCGTAAATCATTTTTCGTGTTCTATCACCAAGTCATAAAATAAAGTATCGATTTGTTCAGATCAGCGTAATTATCGAACGCCATCGGTCTGGCTATCACTCAAAGCATGTAAACATCTTTCCTTTAGTCTAAAATAGAGACAACCCAACAGTAAAGGTATACAATTAATGAACGATATTTTACCAAATGTCGGACCATCTGGCATTTCGATAATATCAATACTTTTTTCGATCAAATTGGTTCTGGTACTGGTTGAAACCAGGACTAGCGTTATCGTAACTAACCGGAATACACCATTAGTTATATAGAAAAAATGAAATATAGCCTGCCGCTTTTTTTATACCCTAATTTTATACCCTTACTATACACGTAGGACACTTCGCTTACCTATTGTTTTAAGAAGTTTAATTTGGAAGTTTTAGTTATGCTATATGCCGCGGGAATCAATTTGCTTTTGAAAGGTTTGATAAAATGCTCGGTTATAACTCTAAGTAACGATGATTTGATTATAATTAGTGATAGCTTTATTATTGATGTAAAGCAATTAAAGTCTATCTTTTTTTTTGTAAATATCTATAATGAATCACGAAAATTCACGTCATAAAACGTTACAAGTAATGTTGTGGAACGTCGATTATGTCTACACTAACAGCAGTTAAGGTGGCTGTTCGACATTCAACATTGACGGAAATTTCCTTTTTTCTCTATGCTGCAATCGAAATTTTGCTTCAATACGATATCGACTAATTAAAGCACATCTGTAATAAGTTAAAAGAAAAGTCATGGTTTTTAATGAAAACATTACTATATATGGCGAAGTTGATAAATTACACAAACTTGCGGCATTTCATCAAGCCAGGCATCCCATTACTGACAGATAGCGTAAATCATTCTTAAAATTTCGTATTTTTTGTTGGAAAGTTACGAACAGCTCCTCGACGTCTCAAGCTTTTCAATTACTGCATGATTTAAAGCCTTTATAATATCCAGTTCTAAAACTACTCTTAGAGAACATTGTTTCTCTAGGATCTCAGCACTTCAGCTTTGTGTGCCACGAACTAAGTGAAACTAAGACAGAAACAATTATCATTACAAAGAGGCGATTCGGGACGAATCGGGCAAGTTATAAGGTCTGGCCTCCGCTTCTTACTTCCCACGCGAGCCGATTGGGGTGGAAATGGCTTCTAATGGTTTCATGGATAAACGCTGGATGAAGATTTGCTGATTCAGGGGGATGGGAGGACTGACTATATTGGGAAGAATGTTCTTGCTATCTTAAATGTGAACATGAAGACATGAATACTGTTAGATAACTTGAGAACAAACTGTGCAGCATGTATGTCCCGATATGCCATAAAAAAACGTCCCATACTGCATACGCTTAATTGACGTTAGTGTAATGCAGATATTTATCTCCAATGACGCTTGGACAGCTTAACAGGCAAACTTAGCTCTTTTGTAGCAGCACCGCAACAAAGATAAGGTCAACTTATTTTTTCGTTTATGTGGCGCATCACTCGTTAATAAACCGTTCATAATACAACGTTGTTGTCGACTCTTCAAAGGCAAAGTCGATGCTACGGCTTAGACAGTTGGTTAAACATATTCAACTTAAAATATTGGTATATCCATACCAGGTACGCGATGACACTACCGTCACCAAAACAAAATTCTCTCTCTCTCCCTCCCTCCCTCCCTCCCTCTCTCTCTCTCTCTCTCTATATATATATATATATATATATAAGACAAAGAGAGAGCAGACGATACAAGTAAGACGACGAATCAAATGGCTCCCTATTATAAACACTTGATAAATACACATGAGGTCTCGGTTACAATACTGTGCTTTTGCTTATCGATTAACAATCAGCGTGCGAAACAGGGGTATAATTACTCGATGTCATTACGGCTACGTTGTCAATGTGCACATTTTCGGCACCTAATAAAGGTAAAACAGGATCAAAGACAAATATGGCGAGCGTCGTAAGATTAATTCGATGCCCAATTAACTTGATGAAGAATGATAATATAAAAGGTGTATTATAAATCATCATATTGTAAACTGGTCCACTAAATGTGACTTACCCACCTTTATTTTTAGAACCTCATATTGTGAAGTCCATGAACAAATGATACTCTACGGTATAGTAGCGGGTATTGTAGACAGGTGTGGCCAGCTATGCGACGACTATGGACAGATGTTTTTAGTGCCACGTGCATTTTCTAAATTGTTGTAAATACTTTCTCAACCATAAAAATGACCCTCACCTTAGCTGTACAACCTAAAACAGCTTTTTGTGACCTAAACAATTTCAGTGACATTTAATGCTGTATTGTTGAAAATCCAACATCGTGTTTCAAGCAAAAAACGACAAGACTGCATTTTTTTGCTACGTAAAATCAACCTCATTTATGACCTTACGAAAGCTAAAGAACTCGCTTGCCTTTACTAAGGAATATATATACATATATATAACATAGAATATTACTAAAAAACAACGCTGAGGAAAATCACAGGTATTCATTAACTTTATCAAACGATATACACTTGCTTGAAGTGAACGCGACGAGCCAGTTGCTCATAGTAACTAACCTAAAGTAACTAATTATAACGACAGTTATGAGAACTGGATATTCTGTCAGCAAATACAAACTGATCAATAATAAAGTTGTTGTGACTCCAGAACAAAGAAAGTGAGACATTAAATTCACGGACGAACTCAATAGAGTGCCCATAGGTAAGCACTTCACATCGCGAGGATAGTCCAGCAATGTAGTAGCAACATGTTTATATCCTAAGCCTAATGACATATAGTATCTGCTTGTGAGGTGATTTAGATTTGAAATATTGCGTACACACATTTCGTTTCGTCGTCTGATACAATACAGAATCTGAAGTAAAGCTCTAAATATTTGATCGTACATCAGCGCTCGTTTTACATATCTTATATATATATATATTTTCAAATATGTCGTCAAGCGCCATAAGACAACATTAAGCGTTTATCTGCGAATTTTTAGCGCCATATACAGGACAGACGCGCAGCTTTGTTTATTATCGACAACCGACTCAATGGAAGTAAACAGTTTTAACGGCTAGCGCCATCTGTTAATACGGAAGCTCAACACGAAGTATTCAATGATATCTGTGAACGGTATCTGTGTAGGCGTACTCGGTATTAGTTATTAGAAGACATGCTTGAATTTGTATGTTTCAATGGGTATTGCCCACTGACTCAGGTGGCCATCAAAGTCGTCTGTATATATGTCAAATATACGGCATCATCGTTACATTGGGATTTGGATGCTTCGTGATTTCACATTTACTTTATGTTTCGCGGATACTACTAATGTCAAGTTTCTAAGGTTTTATGTTGAATGAAGGTTAAACAGCTTATCGATGAGGCATCCTTTACTATCAGATATAACAGGTCTGTGAAGGTAGCCAGAGCACAAGGAAGCTCTTCTTCGTAAACGTCCTCGATCCTAAAAGATGATATAACTTTCATATAAGAAAAAATAGCATCGTAATTTATTACACCTCGATCTACTGCAGTGGCCTGAAATTCGTCACTAGCGCCATTACGACCTTGGGTTTAGTTGAAACATTTTTTTATTCCGTTGTCCGACACAAGCGTACTATCCAATATAGTTGTCCAAGTGAATCTGGTAAAGGTACGTGCAACAGCAAAGCTGATTCGTATCCGGTATATGTAGATACCGCAATTGAACAGTACGTAAATGTAGCTTATTTGCCAATACCCTATTAGGACCAAACCTAAACCTTCGAGCAGCACTGAATCAAACGTTAAACGTAAATTTGTAGCACGATGGGAATGGATCTTGTCTAGTCGGAGAATTTCCATTGACTGGTAAAATCATGTCTCTTAGTGCTGCGCATCGTCCTTCGAAACTATGCCGTTCTTTGCTGGACACAATTTGATTTGGCTAGATTTAAAATATGTGGTGGCCAGTAACCTTACTTAACCCATTCGATTGTAATTGGTGGCCTCAGATATAACTTATTCTCATTACCTTAATCGTTACTTTGTATAGCTACGGTGACATAAACCTAACCTAACGTGCCTAATGATCTTTAAGAACATGTACAGGGATAAATATTTAGGTGCCGCCTTGCCAAGTGCCTGATATAGATCGGTCTTTAAATTGAAGAAAGTTACTTTTGGTGAGTAAATAGTTTCAGTATAAATTATCTTGCAAATCTAAATGGCATATTTTGGTATTATGTGGGCGTTTTCATCATTACGTGGTATACCTACGGTGCACCTCCGCCTAACTCATTAATATGTTCGATGACACACACAAAAAGACCTTAGCTCCTTCTTAACAAAAGCCTAATTTTGATTTGTTTTCTGTTTGTTAGGAGCAGCTTTTGATCACATGTTCTACAGCGCGAGTATAGAGCAGCTTAAGAGCTACTAGTCGTTCATCAGAGGCATATTTTTTTAATCAATCTCCGATGTACGTGACAACGAACTTGCCAACCGATGCTGGTTATCTTAAGGTATGAGATTTCTAAATGGTATTTTCATATCTCTATTAGAGACAGAGGCGATTTGATAACGATACGATTGAACTTGTTTTCTGGCTGACGAATAAAGTGCATTGTGAACAGTGTTTGTATATGTCTGTAGATATCACTTTACTAAGTATCAGTAGATATAAATTGCATTTTTATAAATACCTGCTATATTGGCCTTTTGCATTTTTTCCAACTCACAGTTAAAGGAAGTTTTTGAGGAAAAAGCGAGACAACCGTTATTTCAGTACGCAAAAAGTGATAGGAAAAATGGCTATACAAATTGACAAATCTTGAGATTTGCTTTTTGTGCATTATTGCTATTATTATGTATATGTTAACCAGGGAAACATAAAGAGACTCTTTTCAAATCTTATGTTAGGGCTATTATTTCCAAATTTACCAGTTCATATATACATATATATATATATGAGATGAACTTTTCAGAGTGAAGTACTGCAGTTCTGAAGAAGCCGATTGATCCCTGCAATAATATTATTCGTGCCCATTAAAATTTCCTTAACCTCAGACTGAGGAAGTTATCTGATTATGTCTCTCATCAAATTAAAGTACGGCCCTTTAAGTTTAGCCAGACATGCCAATTTTTATTTTTTTTAACTTATGGTATTGGTATTGTTTCAGGGGACATGTTTTCGTTATGCACCTGATACTGTGAGCAGAGCACGGATTTATTACATCAAACGCATCATTGTATTACCGAAATAAAATGTACCAGCCATATTTGTTTGTCCTTCTTATCCAGTTTCTGTTTTTTGTTTTAGCGTTCATTTGCATCATCGTTCTTGTCTATCATTATATGGAACGACAATAGAGCACCGCAATGACACTAACCAATTTTCGCCTTGTCCATAAAGATCACCGTTGCTATTTATTATTAGATCGCATTGTAATTAAGTGAAACGACGACCTTGCACTATTAGGCTGCACGGTGCAGCTTTCGACGGGATCCTTCTTATGCAGACGGATCGAAACGAGCTAGAACGCGTCGACGATCTAATGTGCTACAGTCCGTTAGGCTAAAGACAGATTCTATTAGACCAACTCTCAAACTTTTGTATTCAGCGTACGCTTACATTGCTATGGCCCGATGTCGATTGCTGGCCATTTCAACTACAGTATTTGACGCTTTCGTTAGTAAAAATGTAATCGACATTTACTATATCAACTGTAGATATAATCTGTATCACTCGTATAGTCTATTTGGTCACGAAAAGCGTAAATGGAGCTGTGTACTGGTTCCTCACGGTATTATTCCACCGATGTCGGCATGACTATGCTATTACTTGTTAAACTTCGTTATATATATAACCTGTTTGGCTTCTTTCTAGGTAGATAGTACCGAATAGTATAGAATGTTGTAGATAGTACATATATACATTTGCAGATACAATAATCAAATCCTGTATCCATCATACAATGCAACAGACCCCGCTGTACGATCCGAGGCCAGTTAACGGACAAAAAAAAATCTATATAGACCCTTGACATCTTATTACGCTATAGTAGGCCATTCCGTAATTAAGCCCCTTATATCGAATGCTCTGTTGATATAGTATCGACTTTAGGCTGAATTCAAATAGCATATCGCGAATTGACGGAATAGACATTAACCTTGCTAAGCACAATTGAGAACGAACGTTTGATCGTCTTCCATTGTGCAGGTGTAATAATTACCGGCAGTAAATACGGGTCTTCGTTTAATTTTTGTTGGTTCCGTCAGAAGACGGTAAAGATTTAAACCATTGGCAATGGAAGTTTAAAAACTTCACTGCACTGTGTCCCGTGAAGGTCATACAGGTGACATGCAGGTTAGCCGGCTGTATTCCAATAACCTATCATCATGATCCCGTTTTGTGGGTGTCATCTTAAACTGAATCATATTTTGGGCCATCTTTTTAATGGTTTACGATTCATGAAAATATGTCTTAACCTATATGAATCTGCCAGGCAGTAGCTTCATCATACCATGTTAAGTTGATCAACAAACGCTGGTAGCCGAGTTCTGGCTACACATAGACATAACTTAATTTCGACGATGTTCAAATTAAAGATCTTTGTATAATCCAAAATCCTTTGTATTAGCTACATGCGTATTGTTCCCTACTAAGTAATCGTTACAGGGACATGGTAGATCGCAGCTGGTCTAAAAGTTTATTATATCGTTTTCAAGGGTAGCAATTTACCGAATACAGTACTTCCCGCTATGATTTTGAGCTTGACATCGAAATCGGGTGAACAACATCGGCTAGAGCACAATAATATGTACGATAATTTACCTTAGCACCTTTTTTTTTCAATTTCAGCTGGTTCTACCGATCACGTTTATAAAGCGTGCTTTTCCTACGATGTGGACGAAGTTTCCGGGTTATGAAACGGCCTTATTGTAGCAGCCGCTCTCTACCTTTGCCCCGTATCATTTTCAATTCCGTCGCTTCTCTGGGTCAGTCCAGTAATCGACATCCACATGTCCAGTAAGTGTTCGGCAAATAACCATTGGCTGGCAGCACAACCGAGCGGACTTGTTCCCCGTAAGTTTTTTGCCATCGATCAAAGTTTAAGGATGACGAAAACAAAGACGAAGCAGGTCATGCTCGGCCTTCACTTTGGGCAGGGCTCAATCTCGTTAATTGTATAGGTCCTCGAAAAGAATTGAGTGTTATAGCTGTATTAGTGGCATTAGTTAATCTAAGGCAGGTGCAGAACGGCAACGCCGCTTACGGTGGATTTGTTTTAGTTTGATCGATCCAAGCATAGATGAGCGATTTCTGTTATGGCCGCAGTAGTCCTAGCAAGAAAAAAGTGCCAGCACAGACGACGAGGGCGGGGCAGTGGGTCCCAGATTATGCAATGCTGTCGACCCAGCGCGGTAGCTTTCAAGTGTTATATCTATGCCTACAAACAGTTGACAGGAGCAATAACGAACCAATAAACGTCGATCAATATCCACAGGTATTACGAAAAAGCAGTATATTTCTTGTTCAAGTTTGCTCGTTGTGTGTGTTGTGTCAGGGTACGATTGGAGAGTCTAATCTAGAAAGACTATGATGGATTGGTTAACTTTAAGGAATATCTGAGGCTGTCGATAGAACAGAACGCGACAGGGAAAAGGGCGGGGATGCTAAAACGGTGAATAAAAAGTCGCCATTACGAGCCGGCGTTCCTGTCGCTGTCTAGTAGTCGGTTAAACGCTGACAACTACCCCAGCAACAGATGCCCATACACACAGACGTGCGTACAAACAGTCAGACCTGCAGTATATTGGTAGATGAAGAGAGCCGCATGCGGTCCGAGCTCGGCATCTATCTCAGCCGTCGTCTAATATTCGAAAATCAGCGATGGTTGGCCTGGTTAGCTTGATATTTCGCAGTAAAGACGGGAGACGAGAGAGAGAAGCAATTTTGTTTACAGCAACTGGTAATAATTGTCATTCGACATGGACGAACATCGAGCAGCAGTAATAACAGCAGCAAGCGAGGACAGTGGCAATAGATTTGAAACTTCACGAAGAGCCGATCAGACCGACATGATGGTCGTAACACGCACTGACAACGAGGCCTTTTGTTCCTCAGGATATAGTGCGTTGGTCAGTTGGGGGATGGGGGTCAGCTTAAACAAGGGTACAGTAGAAATGAATAGAAGTGATGGCTGTGCGGGATGGGTCAGCTTGGGGAGAACTACCCAAGCGACAGTAAAGTTCGTGATCAAAAGTGAACGCAATGACAGCAATCGCGACAATAACAACAGCCGCGATAGGTAAGCGCATTATTAGTAGTACTTCTCATAGTACTGGAAGAATAATGATAAGCGCGTCAATAAGTAATAAGCGAAAGGTTGCGTAATCGCCAGTAAACTATGTCGTCTGTATAGGCTTGAACGTCTGCTAGAGGTGACGGCAAAGATCTGCTGAACGTACAAATATGTGTTTGCTCTTCGCCCCTAATTGGATTCTATGTGTGATGTATATATTGTGCTATTCGCGGCAATAATCTTCTAAACACCTATCAAAGGTTCGTCAAGGATATAGTAAAAGCCGGGGTAGGATAAACTACCTACAGTTCAATCCCGACAGTCAATGAAGCGCCAATATTTGTCGGTCCGAAGCATGGATAGAATTCACGACTGTTCACGTGACGAAAAAGCGTTTGTATCATGAAAATGGACAACTATAAGCATTAACCAACTGTTGAAAATACAGATCAATAATGAAAAAGTCCTCATAAAAACAATGCGTGTGTAACGAAACACGTGATCGCGCCTTTTATTCTGTCTGACTTTGAAAACTTCTCGAGCTGACAATACCTTTTATTTAAGAAGAGCTAGAGATGGTTATCGACGTATTGTCCACTATCTCATGAGAATGTGGACGCAGTGGCGCGGTCTCATTTTGACTTGACTCATATTTTTCTTATAGTGAAACCTATAAGCTCAAAATGTGGAAGGGGATGCACCTCGCCGTGGAACGCTATTTAGCTATTATAATAGTAATGCCAATGCAACTGACGTCTGATGGTTGTTGTTGCTAGCGTCGTTGAAGCAGAAGAACTTTAAAAACTTGCAAAAAGGACTCAGTGGAGCTCACTGACGCTTTACCGATTAGATATTGAGCTAAGCTAGCGAAGCGCCGATCAACAGACTTACCGATAGGTTTCTACAGGTAAAGCACTAATTCAGACAACGGTGTTTGTGGCCATCGCGAATTAATTCAGTCGGTTTCAGTAGAAATCACTCCTGCTTACAATCGGAAGGATTACCTTGCTATCATCAAGTATGCGGAGGTTCTTCAAAACAGCTTGTTACAGTATATTTGCCGCAGGATGCTGTCTAAAATGATTTACCCATCGGAACGGGGCGCTAATAACGTCCCCAGAAAAGATCATTGAAAGTCGATTCCCTCACGGGTTTAATCCATTTTTGCTGATGTTGTTTGTTAAACATCGCAGAATCATATTTTTTCTCTATCGCTTATATGAGAAAAATTAAGAGCGGAGCGTAGAGAAAGTATGACCTTGACAATTAGGGTTGTGGCATTTTCTGCTGAACAGAGCCCGCAATATTCCGGCCTTCGTTGACAAAACTCGATGCGTCCCCTATACCATCAGGTCTGTAGAGTTACTAAGCTTTAATACATGAAGCTATTTTGACCTTGCTCAAGATGAAATGTTTTTTTTTTTTCGCACGCGTAAAATTTGACAATGCAAAAATAAAAAATAAAAGCAAAGAGTGCTGATATTCAAACTTCGGCTTTTTTCCGTCAGGTCTTCCGTAGGTGACCTGTCAAGATGACCCGCCATAGACGCGGCTAGTGGCAGGAAAAGATATCTATTGATAATGACTTTTCTGATAGATGCGTTTTGCATTATACCGCCACCGAAATTCAGCTTTTTCTTTATCTCATTCATATATTTTCCTAGAATATTTTTACTTTTCTCCTTCGTAGCACTGTGTTTCTTTTTTCTTTTTAACAGATTTAAACCTGTTCCTGATTGCTGTATGGTTGGAATTTCTGTTTCGCTGTTTAAATGAGCCTTGCTAATTCACCCGCCAAAAACAACAGAGAAACAACCCATTTTTCCGATGCTTCTATAAGCATTTATTACCGAGCGTTCGGTGATGTCCGTCCGCTAATTTCCAGATGACGAAAACACTCTTCGCTGGATATTCTGTCCAAAAATGATCGTGCTTCGTCGACATATATCGTGCCTGCATGTGTGCACGTTGGCGAACTCTAACCACAGATTCACTGTAAATGTTTAGGCCAAGGCGAATACAAGGCGCAGCTTTCTCTTTTCTACTTGAGGCCACCTATAATATATAAGGTATGCAGACCATCCATATATCATATATAATAGAAATGCTAGTAAGCTGAGGTAGACTCCTTGATTAGGTGGCCTTTAAGCAAATGATAATATCTCCGCTGCCTATTTCGCTTATGTTACCTCTTATTTACTGAGTTTAAACCCTTACCGCGTTTGCTGTGCTATATATATATATATGTTTGCATTTTATCGGTCTGTGTTACGTCTCATTTTATCTGACAGGTCGACCTATCACCGGAAATGGCGCTATCCGGTAGAAGTTTTCGGCGGGTAAATTATAGTAAAACTAGCTTTCTCTCGTCTGTTCTCTGTTCGGGCGCTCATAGACATCACAAGTGACCACGCACGACAATGTTCATCTGTTTGTTGTATGCGGTTTAAGAAAGTGGACCTACGAACGGCGTCGGTCGACATGGTCACTTAGTCGTTCTTGTCTGACGAGCTTGGTTCCTGCCCTGCAGGTGAAGTGAGGAGTTAGCGCTCTCGTAGATACTGCTGCTGCCGCCGCCGCCGCTAGTGTAACTGATGACTAATTACAGAAAATCTATCGGCGCCGTATAAGCGAGGTAAGTAAATTAACCCGAGCAAACAGAATCGGTTAAATGGGCCCTTTTCTTCTTCGTTGTCATCTTGAGTTCCACTGGTGTTTTCGCCTACGTCCGGTCAACACAGCACCTTGCAGACATCGGCATCAGTTCCCATCGGGAGTGCTGCAACTGTGAGAGGCAGTTTTTCGGTTAGCGATGCATCAGCGTAGCGTAATAGTAGTTAGTCTATGGATGAGGCTGCCAGTGAGTGGGGTACACTGTTGTATTTCGTATAGTTTCTCGGCTACATAATACATACAGATGAACTCTTTGGTAGTATGATAATAATGACCAGAATAGGACTCGCTGTATTGTTCTATTCTAGAAATCAAGCCCTATACGCGTGACTGTGACACATCGGTAAAGCCTGTTGCCAGGTAAGGATTAGGTACCGTTAACATCGATGTAGACCTAAATTACGTTCACATGACCGGCCGTAATTATGCTAATGCGTAGTCATTGGTTGAGAGAAGCTACGTTCAGTAGGCTAAATCTGGAATGAATAACAAGGAAGAATACATAAAAGCAAAAAGAAAACTAGGGTATTATAGGTCATGCAGTGACTAATCGTGCCTCTTAAGACCCGAAGGAAGACCCATTCGACATAATTAATCGAAAAAAATACTAACTTACACAATTTTTATAAAACTTCAAGCACCGAGCCCTATTAAACGTTAACGATGAATCGATACAGACCATAGCACACGATGTTAATTCATCGATGCCACGACAAAGCTACAAAGGATCAATATCTACATTTTAACGTTAATTGCTTTGCGAGGGCCGAGACACCTCAGGATTTCTGACTATTTAAAAAAAAAGTAATCGCGTTCGTTAAAGACTCATGGAAAGCATAAGTGTCCCCCATTGAATTGGCCAAATATGAGCTAAAACAAATACCAAAATCTACAATTTAAGTTAGCAACAAACAACTGTGAGAACATTTCATAACGATCGACAGCAGCAACCCTCAATGTAATCTTTTAACTCAGTTAATGATGTATCTTTGCGAAATCAGCACATCAACTCCGCTGGGAGTCATACACCGAAATCAGCGGAATCGTTGAAAATAATTCTTTTGTCTTTGTTCTTTTTGTGAGTAGGCTATAGCTACTGTGCATATCGATTGAAGTGTCCGGAATAACACTTCATTGCCGTATTTTGTCTGTTATGCCATAAACTTTTTTGATTTAACAAGACTCGACATATGACAAACAATGAGGTATACAAACAAATTGAACGGGCTTTGCTAATAGCTCCGTTAACAGCATTATATATATATATATAAATAACTTTTTATTCGGACGAATTCTTTAATACTTATGTGTCCTTAAAGTGACCTCTGATCTTTTTCAGTATTTTTCCTAT